CCTCAGCCGCGGCTTGCCTCAGCCTCAGCCACAGCCCCAGCCTCAGCCTCAGCCTGCCTCAGCTTCAGCCTCAGCCTCAGCCTGCCTCGGCTTGCCTCAGCCTCAGCCTCAGCCTGCCTCGGCCTCAGCCTCAGCCTCAGCCTGCCTCAGCCTCAGCGTCAGCCTCTCAGCCTCAGCCTGCATCAGCCTCAGCCTCAGCCTCAGCCTGCCTCGGCCTCAGCCTCAGCCTCAGCCTCAGCCTGCCTCAGCCTCAGCCTGCCTCAGCCTCAGCCTCAGCCTGCCTCAGCCGCAGCTTGCTTCAGCCTCAGCCACTGCCTCAGCCTCAGCCTCAGCCTGCCTCCGCATCAACCTCAGCCTCAGCCTCAGCCGGCCTCGGCTTGCTTCGGCCTCAGCCTCAGCCTCAGCCTGCCTCAGCCTCAGCGTCAGCCTCTCAGTCTCAGCCTGCATCAGCCTCAGCCTCAGCCAGCCTGCCTCAGCCTCAGCCTGCCTGCAGCCTCAGTCTGCAGCCTGCCTCAGCCTCAGCCTGCCTCAGCCTCCTGAGCCTGCCTCGGCCTCAGCCTCAGCCTCAGCCTCAGCCTGCCTCAGCCTCAGCCTGCCTCAGCCTCAGCCTCAGCCTGCCTGCATCAGCCTCAGCCTCAGCCTCAGCCTGCCTCAGCCTCAGCCTGCCTCAGCCTCAGCCTCAGCCTGCCTCAGCCTCAACAGCCTGCTGCCTCAGCCTCAGCCTGCCTCAGCCTCAGCCTCAGCCTCAGCCAGCTCAGCCTGCCTCAGCCTCAGCTTCAGCCTCAGCCTCAGCCTGCCTCGGCCTCAGCCTCAGCCTCAGCTCACCTGCCTCGGCCTCAGCCTCAGCCTCAGCGTCAGCCTCTCAGCCTCAGCCTGCCTCAACCTCAGTTTCAGCCTGCCTCAGCCTCAGCCTGCCTCAGCCTCAACTTCAGCCTGCCTCGGCCTCAGCCTGCATCAGCCTCAGCCTCAGCCTGGCTCAGCCTGCCTCAGCCTCAGCCTCAGCCTGCCTCGGCGTGCCTCAGCCTCAGCCTCAGCCTGCCTCGGCCTCAGCCTGCCTCGGCCTCAGCCTGCCTCAGCTCGGGCATTCAAAATATGGCACAGGAGTGGTGTTCCGGGAACACGAAGAACACGAAGTGGCCTACAGTTGGCTCCGGGCATTCAAAATGTGGCCTGGGAATGGTGTTCTGGGAACACGAAAGAACACGAAGTGGCCTACAGTTGGCTCCAGGCATTCAAAATGTGGCCTGTGAATTCTGTTTTGGGAAGACGAAGAACACGAAGCGGTTTACAGTTGGCTCCAGGCATTCAAAATGTGGCCTGGGAATGGTGTTTCGGGAACACGAAGAACACGAAGTGGCCTACATTTGGCTCCAGGCATTCAAAATGTGGCCTGGTAGTGGTGCCTACAGTTGGCTCCGGGCATTCAAAATGTGGCCTGGGAATGGTGCTCTGGGAATGGATTCCTAAGGATTCCTAAGAAGGATTCCTGGGGCTGCACTTTTGTCCAGTTCCTTGTCTGGATCCCGCCCAGACCCATCTGGAGCGTCAAGATGTTTTCTTCTGATCCCACTAGAAACCTATCAGCAAAAGCTGTTAAGTAAAAGCCCAGAAAATATAGGAAAATATGGGGAATATTTTGATTTGTGTGTAATTATTTGTGTGTCCTGGGGCCCCTTCACTAACGGCAGGCGTGTGTCCAAAAACCGGACGAGTGGTTCTCGAATAGCAGGCGGTGTGTCCCGCCGCCGTGCTTGGGTTGCGGGTGTGCGGCCACGCGGATGGCTGATGGGATCTCGTGGGAGGCCTGACGGGGTCGTCTTGCAGGCAGTTTTCGGGCCTCTTGGGGGCTTCCTGGGGGTTTCTTGGAGGCCTTTGAGGTTTTCTTGGGGACAACGGACCCTACCAACGGACCCCTTTGCAGTAGATTTCTTTCGGCCTCCTGTGGGACCCTCTTTGGGCCTTGTCAGGGCCTCATTCGGGCACTCGCTGGGCTTCAGGACAACCTCGAGCGTGTCCACATAAGTGTCCTTCACGAATCCTTTGCGCCATCACCGCTCGTTTTTTTGTCCGAGATGTGTGCTAACATGTGCCGGCGCGTGCATGAGTGCACCTCTGGCACTCTGAATGGCTGGGTCGTCGTGGAACCTACGCTCACGCGCGAAGCGCACGCGGCGCCGGGTGGCTACCTGCAGCCGCCTCGCCCGGGCCCCGGGTCTTGCCGCCCGCTGCCTCCGCAGGCCCAGCATTTTGCTGGCCAAACCCCTCCCTGGCGTTTCTCGCCTCCCATCCGCGCCCCCATTTGAGGATAGCGCAGCCGCCGCCTGGTGACTCAGGCCCTTCACTGCGTCGCACACTTGACCCGCTGGACTCGTTCTGGTACCTGCACTGCGCCCCGCCGCCGCTGGAATCCCGGCGCAACAGCCGCCGCAGTCCTCGCCAGCGGGGCCCGCCGCGCCACCCGCTCCGGGCGTGACCCGTCCCCCTGAGCGGCCCTCGCTCCGTTCTCCCCGCCTTCGGCCGCCCTTTCTCCCCTTTCCCTTCTCTCGTGCATGGTAGCACAATTCGCGGTGCCTCCGTTTAGTTAGCTCTTCCACCAGCGCAGTTACTTTTCCTATCCGCCGACGCAAAAAATGTGTATATGTAGCGGCCTTCTGCCCATCCTGCCACCGTGCGTTGGTTATGCGTCAGAGTTCTCAGGGGTGCTTCTTGGGGCTTCCTGGGACCATCTTCGGAGTTTCTTGGGGTTCTCTTGGCCCGTCTTCGGGTCTTTTGGGCCCGAAGGAGTCGCGTGGGGAGACGCGAGGGACCTCAGAAAGCAGGCCGGGAACCGTGGTGGATTTGAGAATTTTGGGTGCGGACCCCTTAAGAGCCCTTAAGGTCGAGGATTGAGGCTCAAAGGATTGGGCAACAAATTTAAGGGTACGCCCTTTCCGTGCCAAGCGGCACGGTGACGGATATTCACACACACGCATTCATGTGTGGGTATGTATGTGTATATGTCGGTGTGCGTGTATGTGTTTATATTTACAGTATGTTTGTATGCATGTGTGTAGTTGTTCATGTACGTATGTATGTATGTATGCATCCGCGTCAATCTAATGCAATGCAATGCGCTGCTGCGTCTTGTAATGTAATGTAATACGATGTCTTGCAATGCAATGTAATGTACAGCGCTGTCTCGTTCTGTAGTGTGATGTAGTGTATCACATTGTAATGTAATGCGTTGTAATGTGTTGTAGGGTAAAGTCAGATAGTGTAATGCAATTTGTTGTGGTAAACAGTCGTGTAGTGTATGTAATATATTGTGCTGTAATGCAATGTGATGTAATGCAATGTACTGTATGTTAATGCAATATGATGTAATGTACAACGATATAGTGTAGTGTAATGTAAGGTAATGCAATATGATGTAACGTCCGTGTATATGTATGTATGTATGTATGTATGTATGTATGTATGTATGTATGTATGTATGTATGTATGTATGTATGTATGTATGTATGTATGTATGTATGCATGTACATACGTATGTATATAGTCACGTATGTATGTGTTTATCAATTCAATTTGGTATGTTTAAATGCATGTCTGTATGAATGGATGCGTGCATGTGTGTGTATGTGTGTTTGCCTGTATGTAGTAGGTTGGTAGGTAGGTGGGTAGGTCAGTAAGCATGCATGTATGCATGCATGTATGCATGCATGCATGTATGTATTTATGTATGTATACCTGCCTGTCTGCATGTCTTCCTGCATGTATATCTGTATATTCCCGTATGTATGTACGTATGGTTAATATGTTTTTTTTCGTGTGGCCTTTGGCCCATCCCGGTGCCGTGTTTGGGTTGTGTAGGACTTTGACATGCTTCTTGGGGTCTCCTGGGGTGCCTTTTGTGAGCCTCTTTGGGAGCCTCTTGGCGACCTCTTGAGGGGGCTCTTGGGGCCTCTCGGGGACCGTTGGGGGGCTTCTTGGAGGTCTCCTCAGGGCCTCTTTGGGTGGGGCCTCTTGGGGGCTTCTGGGGGGCTCTTGGGGGCATGTTGGGGGTCGGAGTGACAATCCTTGAGGAGAAGGTCCCAAGGCCATTTCGAGTTCACTCTCTCGGGCCCTTCTTGGGGTACCTTTGGAGGCTTCTTGTGCCGTGTCGGGGTCCTCTCGGACCGTCTTGGAGGGCTCTTGGACCGTCTTGGGGCCCTCTCGGGGGCCTTGTGGGCCGTCTTGGAGCGATCTTGGTGGCGTCTTGGGCCGTCATGGGCTGTCTGACGTTCAAGGAGGCGAGCATGTAAACAAGTGTTAAACACTTTGAGGACGTGGATGGGTTTTGCCTCTGGGCGCCCTCTTGTGTATCCGCTGGGGTCCCCCTTGGGGCGTCTTGGGGGCCCCTGGGCCGTCTTGGCCATCTCGGGTATCTTGGAACGCTTTTGGGCCGACTCGGGGCCCCCCTCGGCCCGTCCTGGGGGCCTCCTGTGATCGTTTTGGCCCGCCTCGGCGCTCTCGGGCCTCTGGGCGCGTCGCTCGGCAAGCCCGAGGGTCGCGCGACAGCGCGCGAGCGGCCCTTGGGATGTGAGAGCTGCGGCTCCGAGCCCCTTGCGTGGTATCACAACGCTCAGTACATGGGGCTAGGGGACCTGAGGACACTCCATGAGCGCCTACGGTACGGCAGCTGACACACTTTTTTTGTCGGCGGGGCGAGATCGAACCTCTTCTACTAAAAGCTAGGCGGGCCACGCACAGCTCTAATTGGGGAGACAGGGCAAAGGCGGGCGGGGCCTCAGGCGGCCAAGAGGGCGGGGCCCGGGGTGCAGGCGGTGCCGAGGAGCTTGCAAAGGAAAAGGTACGCCGTGGACAGGAGCCGGAGGCGAACGGCAGCTGACACACACACACACACATTTATGTTTACACACATGTGCATCGATAAATATCAGTCTTCTTCTCGCCCCGCCCTGCGTCTCTTCTTATTCTCTCTACCGTGATCAGCGGGGCTGGGCTGCCACCGCCAGTGAAGGATCGTGATCAATTCCGTTCTGCACGCTCGCGAGTGGATCGCGTCAATGGTCGGCACGTATTTGGTGGAGCACTGTGTGGAGCAGCAGAAGAATGATCCGAGCTGGTTGGCTGGGATGGAGCTGGTCATCGTGCCAATTGTGAACCCCGACGGCTTCGTGTACTCGCAGACGGCCGATTCCATGTGGCGGAAGAACAGGGCCACGAACCAGGGGTCCACGTGCCGAGGCAGGGCGGGCGGCTCCCAATGCCGGCGACGCGTGCCGCCTTCTCTCTTTGGCCCGGAGACGAAGCAGCCCGCACCCTGGGCGCCAACCGGTGCCGTCCCCAGAGGTCCCCACCGTGCGAGGGGCTCCGGCCTCGAGCGCATCTCCAGACAGCTGCGGTGCAGTCGCCCGCCTGTCTTCCGACACGCGGGACGAGGCGGCTCGGTGAGCCAGGCTGCCTCTACTGACCCGGCAGTAACTGCACGTCGTAGTATCTCGTGTCGCAGCTTCGATTGGCGTCGCTCTCCTGTTGAACGTATGCTTGGGTGAGCTCTTTGTGTATAGTGTAGGCCTCAGTTTGCGTTTGAACGGGGTGCTTCGGTCGGTCCTCTCTCGCTACGAACAGCGCAAGGGCGAGGGGTCAAGATACCAGTGCAGCGCAGAATTGTCCGACCAAACCCCTGTCATGAGAACAACTTTGGTTGAGTCTTTCAAGTGCTCAGCGTGAGTTGGAGTAAGCACGTGTTGTAGCTGACCTCGGAGTCTCTGGGCCGCGTGTTGGTTTGTAAAGGATTGTATGTACTTATTCATGGATGGATGTTCAGGTGCGTATAGTTATGCTCATATTTGTATAGAAGTACACGTATCTCCACAGTGTTCAATCTTTGCTCATCCGGGTTCAGCCACTGTTGCGTTGAGTCGCCTGTAGCCTTCCGTCGTGATAGTTGTTTCGCAGTGGTGATACTTCGTATGTCGTGTGCAGTTCTTAGTCACAGTAATGTGTTTTTGTGTTATGTACGTTTCATTGTGTCAGTTTGAGACAGGTCCCAATCTGCAGCGGAGTTCTGTATTGAGTTTGTCAGTCAGAGTCTGGCGCTGCCGTCGCATGCGTGCTGCAGAAAGTGTGAAGCATAGCGTGGCGTTGTGGAGATGCAGCGCTGCAGCTTTGTCACAGCCGTGGCTTGCCACACTGGGACCAGGTGCAGGCCAAATCCGTACACGAGCGTCGCAAAGCTTACGACTTGTTCCACACAAGTATTGGCCCAGCTTGAGCTTGATTGAGGTTCTACCTGTGCGGGGCTGTAGCGAAAACGTATCCGGTACCAGAGTGTTTTTTTGGTGTTTGGAGGCTTCTGGGCCGATATTGTGAACCATGGCCTGATTCCTGTCAGTATTTTCACTCGGTCTTGCTCGCTTCTTAGGTCTGGCTCCAGCTCAGCTGAGTCACATGGGAAGAGGAATCGATGTAGAGGAATGAAGGTGAATGGCTGTGTTTTTGTGGTTGGGCTCGATCTGCTCGTCACGCTTGGATGGCACCTTCGACAGGTGTTGACCTGAACCGCAACTGGGAGAAAGATTGGAACGGTGCCCAGTCGACATCCACGAACCCTTGCAGCGAAATCTACGTGGGCGCCTGGTCGCACTCCGAGCCGGAGACGCAGGCACTCAAGAGCGTGCTGACCGAGGCTCCTGTCAGTCTGCACCTGGACATCCACTCTTACGGAGAGATGATCCTGGGGCCCTGGTCCTACACAGACGTCGATCATCCCGACAAGGTCACCGTGGATGCGATCGGAATGGCCATGCACAGTGCCATCCAGAGCGTTTCCGGCACGGATTACATCTACGGCACGGGCACCGCCGGCGGTTCGATCTACCTCGCCTCTGGCGTTGCGCCAGATTATTCCACGAACCGAGGTGATCGGCTCGTCGAAAGTGGCATGTAGAGCGCCAGGATGGAATGAACTGGGGAGTTCGAGGTTCGGGTTTGTGGATTCTCGGCGGTTTTCGAGACCCGGGATGCTTTCCAGCGGCTGCGCCTCACCGAGGGCGTTCTGGGGGTGCCCAGATCGTCTCGAACGGCCGCTAGAGACCCGAGGTACGATCCGGAAATTGGACGGCGAGGGTCATTTTGGGGGATCGAATTGGAGGGAGATGCCTCGACCCCAGTCACCTATTGATGGCCGATAGGGGCCCGATAGCCCACCCGCCTAGGAGCCTGCGGATTCGCTATCGGGGGCCTATCGCTGATCTGTAAGCGACGTATCGCCGATTCCAGCTCGAGGTTTCCCTCCCCTGAGCCGGTCCCCTCCGAACTTTGCCCGGGGCTGGATCGCGTGGGGGGGTTTGGGGTGGGAGGTGAGCGGTGCTGGGCGTGGGGGGGGATCGCATCAGTGAGTGGTTTCGGTCCGCTTGGGGGGGCGGCGGAATAGGCGTCGGGCGGGGTGGCGCGTGGGGTTTGCTGGCTAAGCAGCCTGGAGTAGGTGTATCTATTGGGTAGGATTGTCCTCTAAGGGTGGTGCTGTTCCAGCAACGGTTGCAGCATCGACAGCCGCGACAGGTTTTGGGACTGGGATGGGGGGGATGTTGCACGAGCACTGGATCATCAGGGTGTCTGCATCCGACGTCTTGAGTTTCTCAATGTGGGGCCCCCAGAGGTCTGGACCTTCTCTCAAAGGCTGGCTCGTCGTGGGGCGTTTTTTGAAGGTCTTAGGGCTCTGCGAGGGACCCCAGAGGCCGCACACACTGGGAACCATTTTTGCATCGAATTTCTCGAAGTGTTGGAGGTGTGGTTGGCAGCGCGACAGGACCAGGGCGCTTTCCGACTCCTCCGGGCCGATTCGCGATTTCCTAGGGTTCCAACTGGATCCGACTCGATGCGAACATTCCGATTCACCATTCCGATTTCGAGTTCACCCGATCCGATTCATGCCGATTTTGATTTGGCAGCCGACTTCTGCCGATTTCTTCCGATTCGGCTTCGCTCCAGCGTCGTCGTCGCCTTCCCTCTCCCTCCCTTGCCTCCCTCCCTCTCCTCCCTGCCTCGGCGCAGCCTGGCACGGCGGTCGGCCAAGCCGCGGGCCCGGGGCGCGGTTCCGCCCCCCCCCCTCGACGGCGGCGACGACGGCCTCCAGCAGCGACGTCGGCTCGGAGGGATCCCACCCGAGGAGGGAGGAGGGAGGAGGCGTCGCCGTCCACCCCCCACACCCAGAGGGCCCCCCAGGCAGGGGGCCCCCGACGTCCCTAGACGGGTCCCCGAGGGACCTGCTGACTTTTTCCCGGGGAAGGGGGTTCGCCAGACGGGTCTGGCTGTGCGACATGGGGTTTGGCGAAACCCCCCCATGCGACCCCCCTTCCCCCCGGAGGGGGGTTGGGGGGGTGGTTTGGCGGACCCCAAACCTCTCCCGGGCGGGGGTTTGGCGGACCCGAACCCCCACCTGGGGGGGTCTGGCGGACTCCAAAAACCCTCCCGTGGGGGGGGGGGGTTGGCGAACCCCCCCCAGGGGGGGGGGTTGCAGTGCGGATGCCCAGGCCGGCCAAGCTTCGACGGCGTCGGGCGACCTTCGACGACCCACCGGGACGATTGCGACGTTGATTGCGACGGCGATCGACGTCCGAGGATTTCAAGTAGTTAACGAGTCCCACCAGAGGGCGCGCAGACTGTGCCTGCCGATTTCGATTCCGATCTGGCGTCCGTCCAGCTGGTTTCCGACTCAATCCGACTCGGCCTTGCCGACTCTTGCCTATTCCGATTTGGCAGCCGACTTCTGCCGATTCGATGCTCTGGACGACCCGATCCGGCTTATCGATTCAATTCTGGGGCCGCCTGCAGGACAGGAGGGAGGTTGATTGCTACGCCCCCGAGGCTGGTTCTATCAGGTTGCGGGCGCCCTCACCGAAACATGTTTCTGTTCAAAACAATTTCAATTCAGTGTTTTCGATTCTGTGATTTGCTCGAGTTTTTTGAAATCTTATTGTTAAGGCCTGACGGCCAGTGCCGCCGACCCTGAAAGACATCGACGACGACCAGGATGGGGGAGGAGGAGGAGAAGGAGGAGGAGGCGGAGATAAGGAGGAGGAGGAGTAGGAGAAGGAGGAGGAGTAGAAGGAGGAGGAAAAGGACTCCCCCCTGGGACCCCCCCCGGGAAGGAGGACCAGCGTGGGAGAGAGGAGGGGAGGGGGAGGAGGACCCCCAGGGACGGATGCGTATCTGACTCCCCTCCCCCCCCTGGGTCTCCTCCCCACTTGGGGAGGCGGACCCGAGGAGGACCGCCAGAGAAGGACCGGCGTGGGAGAAGAGGACCCCCAGAGGCGATGCGAATCTGACCCCCCGCCCTCCCCCGGGACCCCCCCCGCCGGGGAAGGGACAAAGGGAAGGAGCTTCCCTTTGACGTGATGAGGACGTGGATGGAATTCCCTCAAGCTGCGAACCCGTTCCCCGAACGAGGACGGGTGCTCTCTTTTTCCCGACGGGAGGGGGCGAAAGAAGGCTCCCCGTCGACGGGACCGGACAGACACCCCCCACATGCCGACAGGGTCGGCGTTTTTTTTTTTTTTTTTTTTTTTTTTTTTTGGGGGGGGGGGTGTTCTGTGTGTGTACATATATACATATATATATTTAGGTATTAAGTTTTTTCTTTATCTTTTCAATACTGTTATTCTTTTGTTATACACATATATATATATATATATGTAATGATACATACTCGGTATATGAATGTACATCTTTTTGTCAACTCATGTTTTTTGTTTGGAAATAATGAAAACGATTAATTCAAACAGTTGCACTAAGCAGAGCTCCGGAGCCAGACCCCCCCCATCCCCCCTTTCGCTCAATGTCGAAACACCTAATATAAATAACACGCTCACTTGGGGCAGTTACTTTCTCCCCGGTGAGTCGATCTCCAGGCAGTTTATGTCTTTTCCCGGCCGACCAGGGGAACCTCTGTCTGTCCGATATGAGTTCTTCTCTGTGCTGGCTGCGCATCAGCAGGTGCGCCTCGTTCTTTAGCAACACATGGGAGCCTTGTACACCCCCGCAGTTCCGTCTTTAACGCTGGTTAGCGTCGATTAGCGTCTGGGAGTGATATGGCGCCGTTTTAGCGTCGGTTTGCGTCGAAGCCGTCAATTTAGCGTCGATTAGCGTCGATTCGCAACAATCGGCAAGATAGTATGAGAGTCTCCCCTGAGTTGCCACCGGAGCTTCGCCGAGGGCGTTCCAGGGTGCCCGAGTCGTCCAGAACGACCGCCACATGCCCAAGCGGTGTCCCGAGCGCCGAGCGGCCCTTCGCCCGAGTGGACCTTCCCTGGGGCGCGGCCTTCGGGAGGCGCGGAGCGGCCAAGCCTGGGCTCACGGGCCTGTGCTGCCGCACCACGTGAGCGATCGGCAAGCCCTGGACCTCCTCCTCCTCCTCCTCCTGCTCTTCTGCTTCCTCTTTCTCCTCCCCCTCCTCCTCCTCCTCTTCCTCCTCCTCCGCGCAGTTCGTAGCCATTTTGGCTCAAGATGCTTTGTTCCACAGTGGAGCGCGTGGATAACGCTAGTCCGCGGCCAGTGCCAGGGTGTTTCCGCCCGACAGTTTCCTTTTCACGTCCAGACAGTCTCGCGCCATGGTGCGGAAGCAGCCCTTCACGTGGTGCAGAGGCTGCGGCAACTGGGCCTATAATTTTCGTCTCATCGCCAACGATGGGAAGTGCGCGAAGTGCAGCAGTGCCATCGACTTGTTCCAGCCTGCTGGCGCCAACGGCGGCAAAGGTGGCAAAGGCAAGGCCCTGCCCAAGCCCCCTGGTCCGATCCCGCCCTGGCGCCACCCGTCGGCCCCCGCGGACCCCGCAGCTATGCTCCAGATGCTCGCTGCGGTCCCAGCGCTGGCAGGTTCGGCCGCCTTGCAGGAGCTGGAGCACAAGTGGTCGGCCAGTCTCGTCAAGCAGCGCACGCCCCAGCAGGAGGCCAACTTCGCCGCCCAGAACCTCCAGAAGAAGGAGGCCGCCCTTCGTCGTGCGGCCGATGCGCAGGTCGCTGCCGAGGCGGCTCTGGCCAAGGCCAAGGACGAGGTCCTGGTGGCCACTGAGGAGGCCCTTCAGGCTCGCGCTGCCAATGACAAGGCGATCGAGGTTCTCTCCATGTCGGTCGGCAAGCCGAAGTGTCCGCCAGAAGGGTACACGGTCGACGGCAAGAAGATCCTGCTCGCGATCAACGAGGCCGACTTCACCGACAACCTTGACGAGTACGATGAGACCCAGCAGAAGACGCTCTGCGACCTCAAAGCCCAGATGGACGCGCACGTGCAGCAGGTCGCCGCGTTGCAGGAGACGCTCGCGGCCACGCTCAAGTCCGTCCAGGAGATCCGTGCTGCACCAGCCAAGCGGCTCCGCGGGGCTGACGGTACTCCCCACCAAGGCCCAGGCGCCGAGGCGGCCGCCAAGGACGAGCAGCCACCCCCTGCCGCCGCCCCAGCCCCTGCCCCAGCCGTCGACGCAGCCCAGGCTCGCGAGGCAGCCAAGGCCGAGGCTACCCAAGCCATCGCCAGGGCCAAGGGGCGCGCTGAGGCCAAGGCTAGCGGCGCTGCTGGCTGGCCTACTGTTGCTGATGCCAATGGCGGCGGCCAAGGCGGCCAGGCCACAGGGGGAGGGCGGCCGTCCTCCTCCTAACGACGGCCGCTTCTTCTTCGCCAACATCTCGGAGTGGGGCCCGCGCTCCGAGCGGTTCATGAGGGCCCAGGCTGAGCAGTGCGACGTGCTCGGCTTTGCGGAGACCCACTTGAGGGGGGAGAAGCTCGAGCAGATGAAGGTCGACATGTCCAAGGATGGGTGGAAAGCGATCGCCGCGCCCTCTACGCCTGCAGGCCGCTCTCAGTCGGGCACCACAGGAGGCGAAGCCATCCTCTGCAATAAGACGCTCGCAACCACCTCCTTCGAGG